AGGGTCAGGCTGTATAGAGGTCTAATACCGTCATGTAGGCCTCGTAGCTCACAGTGTTTATGGTTTAGACACGCCCACTCTTGTGACATGCCCACTCTTGTGACACATCCACTTCGATTCCGCAGATAACCCCTTCTCCTGTGATGAGGAAGTTCAGCTTAAAGACACGTCCCAGAGGTGTTTCTGGTCCCCACCTGTTGTTTTGTCAGTTCCATCAAGAAAAATCCTGTTACTACAACCCATCACTGCATGGTTCACATTTTTATCTACTTTTGGTACTTTAGCTTCAAGACTTGGACCAAAATTCACAAAATAATGATTGAATCCATTTACAATTTCATTCTGATCATAAATTTCATTGTCATCCTTTACAAAATATTGAGAAATACTTGATTTTGCTGTTTTTTTCGAAACCTCGATTCCTTCCCACTCCCCCTTCTCTCCACTGTAAATAAAACCACACTTACCTTTTGAAGAAAAACTCGTGTCTGTTACTTCACGTCTGCTGAACTTTTAGACATTTAGCTCTGGTTCTGATAGACAGAGGTGCTGGGGTCCTCGAAGCGGACTAGAACCWGCATCAGACAAGCAGAGGTCATTGGGGCAATGTGCACCTCTGGTGTTGTAGTCTGTGATGCACTTAATACCCTGCCACACGCCGTACAGATCCTGGGAGGTGAAATGATCCTGGATCTTGCCGACGTGCAGTTTTTGCCCGTTTAATAACTGCAGTCAGACCTGACCTTGCTGCCCTGAGTGACTGTTCATCACCAGACTTGAACGCATCAGTCCTGGTCTTTAACAGTGACCCAAACTCTGCAGCCACGTTGTCTGTTTTGRGTAGCGTCTCACAGTGTTTGTGGTGGTAACGTCCTCCACACACTTCTCCACATATCCCAGAGCAGCAAACGTGTACTCCTGTGAGCTCACAGCATCCTCACAGACAGCGCCTCCTGCTTCAGACATTATTACGCCAATAGATTGAGCTGAATCTTTACATTGTTGCAATCTTCTGTCTACCTTACAAGTTTTATATCAAAGACACAAAATGGATAAAAAATTTGATTTCATTGACAGTGAAGGTTTTTTTTTGTAAAGCTAGAGTTTTTACAGACCAGTATTTGATTTATAACAACAAAAACAAACGTAAAAAATTCAAAAGGATGAATACTTTTTTATAGGCTCTGTATTTGGACATTATTTTAGGATGAGGCAAGTACTCTACAGCTGCTGAAGGCCCACCTGGCTCTGGAGCAAACAGTGGAAACTTATGCAGAGACAGTAGGCATGCTGTCCCAGCAATGCCAGCGTTTATTGGAACTGGGGCACCCRGAGAGGTGGGACTTGAATATATTTAATTTACTTTATTACATATTTTATTGCAATTTTTCACAGGATCGAATATGTATGGATGTTTTTTTTTTTGCTTGTTTTTGTTTTTATTTTTATTTTCATGTGGTTACTTCATTTTCTTTTCTCCCAATTTTCAACAGTGAGCAGATTACAAAGCAGCAGTCCCACATAGACCGGCTGTACGTGTCGCTCAAAGACATGGTGGATCACAGAAAGACCAAGCTCGAGCAACAGTACTGGCTCTATCAACTTCACAATGAGGTCGAGGAGTTAGAGAAGTGGATTACTGAGCGTGAAGCAGTGGCAAGTTCAACCGAGCTGGGCAAAGACCTGGAGGATGTAACGGTCAGGGCGTCAACATGCATTCTTTGCTCTACTCAGAGGAAAATGCTTCAATGCCTTGCATGCCAAAGTGTTAAACAGCAACTTTTGATTGATTGGTTGATTGATTGGTTGATTGATTGATTGGATTTTATTTTGAATATGATCAAATAAGAAACCAATGAGCACAGCAAACATAAAACATTGTTTTTTGATCAAAAAATGTGATTTGATTCTTAGTTTAAACAATAAATGGTAAATGGACTGMACTTACRTAGTGCCTTTCTGTCCTACCAGGATACTCAAAGTGCTTTATAAATCACCTAATTAGTGAGTACTTAAAGAGTAACTTACCCCAAAATTTACTTTTTTAGCTGATAAACTGTCTAGAATGTGTCTAGAATGTTATATAGTACTGTTTCTGTGCTAATTTTGATGTTTTTGTGCGTATTTGTTCAAATCTGTAATATTTGGTCTAAAAACATGTTTTTGCTGCTCATATGGGTCATGTGTCTAAACAGAAGTAGAAAAAACACATTTATTTATTCATACCTCTTCACTATCGTTTAGAAACTCATGTGTTTGTTCACTTGATGGCCTGTTAGTGTGACACATGTTGAACACCTCCTGATTAAAATTTCCTGAAAGTTTTTAAAAATATATATATTCACTGCTTTTAGTTTTTTTGGTTGTTTTGGTTTTATATTTCTGCTTGTGCTGTTGTTTACTTTAAAGAAGAGAAAGCTTTGCTATTTTTCAAAGTATTTTTCACTGAAGTTTAGCGTAAATGGCAACATATTGGAGGTGTATGTACTAAAATAATGTTTTGAAAGGCGGCGAGGACAGTTCTTTAACAGTGGTTTACCTGTTACTGCTCTCAGACTGGGTAGATGACATGAAGCTATGGCCCAATGTTAGACACTACTGACATCAACTACCTCKTCTTTTCCAAAGACATACACACATGCAAAATCATAAATGTCAGTAGTTCTAGAAGAGAAATATTCCTAAGAACCCCCGCCGAATTTTTATAATTTTATGAAAGTATTGTGAATAGCCTTTTTATAACCTCCTATTCTACAGGTGCTGGTCATAAAATTAGAATATCATGAAAAAGTAGATTTATTTCAGTAATTCCATTTAAAAAGTGAAACTTGTATATTATATTCATACATTACATACAAACTCATATATTTCAAATGTTTATTTCGTTTAATTT